TATAAACGGGCCCCTCTTCCCCAGCACTCACTCTTAAGTCAGCGGAGGAATGCCCCAGAGAAGCCAGTTCACTCAAAGGTAATAGTGACTTCAGACGCTGAGCGCAGGTGTTGTCATGGTTACACACAGACCGGAAGCCAAGCTAACTTTTAAATCTAAGGTCTGCCCCTTCCTAGCGCCAGGGTGTGAGCAAATTATGTAACCCCTCTGAGCCTCAGCTGCTTCATTTAAAAATAGGACTAATAATGGGTAACCTACTTCAGAGTCTTCACAAAGAACTGCTACGTAAAAAGTGCTTAAAACAGTGCCCACCACAAAGCACTCAACTAATGCTGCTGCTGTCACCCTCGTAGAAGCCTTGGGATCTTAATGAAGGAGAATGACAAGTGACCCTGTGGAAATACACACCAATGGCGCCTCCCACACACGGAGGAACGTGAGTGACGAGCCTTGGCACGTCTTGCTCCCCGTTCCCACTGCCCACGACGGTCCGTGCAGATGAGCCACCTGCTCTCCTCTCCCCTCTGCCCCGCCCTCCGAGTTCGCAGTGAGATACTATTGTTCCCTCATTTTCTCCACCTTGAGACGTCACTAGCTCAGTTTAACCTAGTATCCGACCACAACCTTCTATCCTCCAGTCTGTTCAACTATCCAGGCCGTCGACATCATCAAAATACCCCGTCCATCCAAGTAATACTCCCTTACCCACCACCTCTTCCTCTCACGTCCCTCGAGCTACGGTTCACCGTGGCCGATGGTTCTCACACCATTGCTTTACCCCAACATTCAAAGCGCCTCTGCTCCATTTTCTGCACAGAGATCGCACAGACCCAGACCTGATCTTCCTGCGATCCCACTGCCTGCCCTCCGCAAGCTGAGCAATGTTACAGAAAACAAAGAGCAACAACCAACATCCTTAACGCCCAACTATACTAGTCTATCAGGCACTTTTCCCAAGTGCTTTCACACTTAACAACTAAGGTACTTCCTCCAATGATTCTGAGAAAAGGATGATTCCTCTCACTCGGTGAGGCCCCACACCAAGCAACACGTACAAAGTCACCGTCAGTGCGGTTTCTTGGGCAACCCCCTGGCCTCAATTATTGATCTATTTTACTTCCTAAATCTCTCAAAAATCTGACTATTCTCTCCATTGCCAGGTAGCCAGTTTAGGGCTCACCTGATTCCTCAGGAGCCTACAACTGCCTCTCCACTTCCAATCTTCTCGATAGCCCATCTTCACAGTTAAAATGACCTTTCGAAAAGGCAATTCTGATGTCAACTCCCCAAGCCCCATTGTGCTTAATGTTCCTCAGGGCTCCTTGCTGCCCCCAGTGTAAGCCCCAACCCCTTCCACATGGTTTTCAAGAAACTCTGCTTGAAAAGTACCTCCTCAGCTCTACAGCTTATGGTTTTCCTACTTCAACTTCACCTCCATTCCAGCCAACTGGACTTAGGCCCTGAAATACAAACACATTCTCTCTCATTGTCAGGCTTCTCTTTTCACTCTCTCTGCCTGGACCAGTTTTATCTTTTATTAGTGGAAGAGATCACCTCCCTGACTAACAAAGTGTGGGGTCCTATGTGTTCCTACTATATGCTGAGCTACTTTCCGTCACAGCATGCACCAGTCTCACCAGGAGTCTAACACACCTGTGAGGGCAGGGACTGTATTTTACCCTGTTCACTACTGTATCTCCAGTGCCTACATGCAGTATAAATATTTTTAATGAATTTAAATGATTCTCAACTCAATGAGGAAGAAAAAAAGAAATTCATTTGAAAACGTTTTCAATTTTCTAATTTAATAGAAATAACCAAAACAATGTGGCTTTCAAACAAGGCTTTAAACTAATCTAATACAACTTCTACAACACATTCCAGAGCATTATAACAAGAAATATTTACAGGCAGCTAATGTATTAAATAACCATGAAAAGAAAATCTTGCTTTTATTACACACCAGCAAAAAACACAGGAACGGAACAACTAGAAACTGCAACCTTGTTTTAAAAAATTAAATATGATTATTTAGAGAATACAATACCACAGAAACAGCACTTTTTCTTTAAGAATCATATTGAAGGGTAGTTAACTATGTGCAAAAATAATAGTAGTTGTGGTAGTCGTAGTAATAAAATGAGGAGAGGACACCAGTTGAAATACTGGAAGCCAGGAACCAGGAAGGCGGTGAATTTAACCCTTTCGTGTGTCAGTATTTCTACATAGAAAATTAACAGGCTTTCAGATTGCACAAATCTTTTTTTATAGGTTTATATACATTTTTCACTGTGATTTAAAACATAGTAAATGCCTACATTTTTCAGACCAGGAGCAGACATGCATTTCGTTAAGATTGAAATTTAGGCCACACTTGAAAGGGAATATTGCAGTGGCACTTAGAAAATTATTTCTGTGCCTTCCCACATACAAATTTGGTGAATTTAAAAGAACAGCACTTTTCATTTTAAAGATCACTTGCTAGAAAAGGGCTCAACTTAATTTGTACATTTTGTAGTTTGATTATAACAAATATATCCAATGGATTTATTTTTGAGGATAATTTTGTTTCTCCGATACAATAAAAATATATATATAAAAGACCACAAAGGCAAACACAAGGAACTAAGACTGAAGAAATGCTACACATGCATTTTGACCAAGTAAAAGAAACCGTTATATCCCAGAGTAACATGTTGAAATCTGAAATGTCTATGTAAACTGAGGCATATAAATTTTTTTCTTAAAAAAGTACCTTCAATTTTTTTACTCAAACACCTACTTTTAAAAAAATATGCAACTTTCCCCAATTTTTAAAATAAAATGCCACAATATATTGTCATTAGCTCCAGCATACATTTACTTTTCTTAATTTTTAAAAGATAGACTGGGTGATATGCATACAAACTTTCCTATCAAGTCACCATCCAGGAGAGGGCTGTGGCGTGCTGAGGCAGCAGACGTAAGTAAAGCAGTGTTATTGCTTTATCAGGGAGGAGATGACTGTGAGGAGGAGAACATCTAGGTCCAACGCATGATCAAACTGTGATGCACCTTGAAAACCGTGGCTCGCCTTCAGCAGATTACTGATACAGATGGTGAGTGAAGAACCTCATTGTTTCAATTAGGAGAGATGGGGTAGATTTTATAAAGCTACTCACTGATCTAATGCTGATTATGCAAATAAGCAGTGCTAACAAGAAGTGAGATTTTCATACTTTGTTATGTGTGAGTGGAAGTAGGTAAGGGACTTAAAAGGTAAAGGGTGCCTGGCCAGTGTGGCTCAGTGGATTGAGCATCATCTCATGAGCCAAGAGGTCACCGATTCCTGCCCAGGTTGCAGGCTCAATCCCCAGTAGGGGGCGTGCAAGAGGCAGCCAATAGATTATTCTCTCTCATCATTGGTATTTCTCTCTCCTTCCCTCTCCCTTCTTTCCTTTCTTTGTACAAAATCAATAAAAACTTTTTTTTTTAAGGTAAAGGAAGAGGGAGCCACAGCATCTACTCCCATTTTGGATACTGAGAGACTGTTCAGTAACATCTGGTAGGCCATAATCCAAGGGCATAGTCAGAAGACCTAAATCTTTTAACTTATTAACACTAATCACTAATAATTAATTACATGGCAGGATACCTGCTGAGGTAATTGATAAATCTACAAATTGCACACTATAAACCTTTTGCTTCTATTTAAAAACATTGTTTCTTTGGATTAATGAAAAATTTTAAAAACTGTTACAACAAAAAGTGAGAATTAACTGACTTTAAATTTTATTTAAAATTCCCTTATATAAGAAACAGAGTCAGAAAGTACCTTGTTGATTCCAAAATGGATTAATTTCAACAATGGCTCCAGTGCCTAATCACTTCTCTGCGGCCGTGATTTGATATTTCTATACAGAGCATGACCTACAATCACACACATGCTTCACCTTATAAAGCAATTCCTTCAGTGAATCAGCTCAGCTCAGTGTTAAAATATACAAATGTAGGCCAGCGGAACAGACTAAGGAACACTTTATTCTTGGTGTTCTCATAGCAGATAGGAACTGAAATGTGGCGAAAACTTTGCAAACCTTTAAGGAAACATTAACATCTCCAAATCTAAAATACTGCCTTTCAAGGAAGAATACAAATGTGAGAGTATAAAAACAAACAGGAACTGATATACAATGTTTGTCTTTTTAAAACAAATAGGAAATCATGTAAGATTTCTGAATATCAAGTTAATACTTTTGAACAGTTATATCAGTGCACAGATCAGCTTTGAAACTGATCAGTGTGCAAAAAAAAAAAGCTTTAAATGAAATCTAAAGTGAACAACTTCATTTAATGGTGGTTTATGGACAGCTATTAATGAATGGTACTTCCTCAGCAGTATGAATTATCTTGTTAACAGAAATGGAGCCTATTAAATGTTGACAATAAAGTGGCTTTTTAAGAACCAAAGAACCAATCTTAAAACAAAGGGGATAAACCCCATCTAACATGGTAATATCTTTAAGAGAACACATTATCTTTTAAGGCCCCAAGTATTGAGAAATAAATATTTACTTAAAATTTTGTTTCTTCTGCCATTGGTAGAAAGTATTTATGACTTACTATCTAGTAATAGTGAAAGACAGCAAACAAAAAACATTAGACAAAATGAAGCTATACGGCTAACTCTCCAGTTTTCAAAAATGTGCCCTTAGGTATGTCTCCTGATAATGAAATCACAAATATTATAGGAAAGAGGGGAATAAGCACAGATAAAAGCATTTTTTAAACAATATTCTCCCTCTTATCAGAAAACTCTTCTTTAAAATTTGAGCAAGATGAGTTTGAAATATGTTTTCTAAGTTTACAACAAAACTGAAAGAGAAGCCAAAAGGAAGTTAGAGAATGAAATAAGTCAATAGCAATGACAAAATCAATACCATTAGAAGGCTTGAATCATATTCATGTTTACCCCCACCACTTAAGAAAAGAACAACAACCCAAAGGAGTTTGCATAATAATTTCTTTAAAGCACTTTATTTTATTCAATATGCACTAAAAAATATTTACCTCTTAGACAATTGTGTCAAATAATTTTTCTGAGTAACCTGTCTGAACTGCTTCAGCTGGATTTTTTAAAAGGCAAACGATTTGCCACAAATCTGATATCTGAAAATATCTAATGGAGAGTCTTCTATTTTGGTCACTTTGTATGCTAATGTGTCCATACAAAAGTAGGACTAAAATTTTTAATCCAACAAAAGAGAAGCCTGTATACAGTCTAGACACACATCTTGGACATGAGCATCACAAATGAAGAGAAGAAAAATGAGACAGAGCCAAGGTGGTGTGCCTGCCTCGGTGCTGAAATCAGGATTAAAGGTGGGTTACTCCAGGAACCATTCAAGTGGGGATTGGCTCATTTTCAGGATTTACTTACAAGTCTCTTCTCTGTCCTTTAGGCCCCAGTCCATGCAATGTCCCACTTGGTGGACAGATGAGTAATCTAACCCCACCGGGTTTATTTCAATATTTTGATATTTTAATAATAAGCTGCTTCTGAAGATTTTCTGAGAAGTCTGTTCTCTATTAAAATAAGATAGAACCTCAAAATATGAATGTGAACATTAGAAATAGACAGCATATATTACAAATCCATTCTTGATAGGAACATTAGTAAGAATACACATTAGCTTAAAAAACAGGCTCAGCAAATGTTGCCGATCTGCCAGAAGTTTTAGTTCACTATTTACAAATAAGACAAAGTGAAATACAGAAAATGTTACACATTTGGTAGCTGACAGATTACCGTTTGCCAATAGTGGTCTATCGGAAACTGACAGGAAGGAAGACGGGTCAGAGCCAGCTATCCCCTCCTCAATCCAACCTAAATACACAAAAACGAGGCCAATAGTCAACATTCTGCCTTTCATGGGAATAACTAGGAGCCGATGATTTGGTTGAGAGATGCAATTTGTGGACGTGTTTTCTGGGAATGATTACTATAATTACATGATCTCCTACTGAAAAGTTACCATATTTATTTCAGTAGACGATTAAAGTTGATTAAATAATGATCAATGGTCATGTTCCCTAGACTCCAAGTATGAACAAAAAAATAAAACTGTTGAGTTCTTTAAACCAATATAAAAACTAAGGCCCAACAGCATCAAAATGAGAAAAAATGTAAGTGTATGATTTAATGCACATCTGTATTGACATCAAAAATGTCAACTTTAACTAGAAAACAAGCCAGTGTGTATGTGTGGAGGGAGAGGCATCAGAATTGTTTAATAGCTGTACGCTGTGGTCCACAGAGACAATTTATCAAGTGACATGACCCGCAAGTATTTATTTATACATCCAGCATCCTGCACCAATCAATACCACATAATCAACATCTGCCGATTCTAACAGTCAAAACTCTTCAGTAACAGAAATCTTCAAAGTATTTCACTTTTATTTTTATTTTTACTTTTAATGGTGCAGAGTTGTCTCCCCTTCTTGACAAGAATGTGGTTTCTGTCCATTGTTTCAATCTAATACTGTGTAAAAGCTATCAGTTTCTTCAAGGTGGTGCCCCCACTGTAGGCAGAATTTTCCAGCTACACTTAAAAGTGTTTTCGCTCTCTTTTTAAACAATTGGTTTAAGTTCGTGTCTTTTTACTTTATATGTATTGGTCTGTCGTCTGACTTTAGGCGTTTTCTGCGGGGCTGTATAAAGTCTTCATCAGAGTCCTCAGTTACCTCACCGTCATCCTCTTCCTGCTCAAACTCTGGCAAAGGTGCGAAGGTCCTGTCTGAGTAGATCTCTGTGAGTTTATCTTCAAAGTACAACGCAACTGCTTTCCCTGCCTGAGCTACTTCTGAATCAGCCTGCAAGCAAAAGATAGGATATTCACCTATTGGTAATGCATATTCCTTCACCAAGTGTGCATGGTCTGAAAAGCTTACCTTCAAATTAATCTCTTGTGTTTCTGCATAAACTTGAACAACTCTCATCATCTAAAAAGGATACCAGAGTCAAAAAAAAAAAGGGAAATTATAAATCCTTTCTAAAATTATAAAACTGCATAGGACTGGCGACAAGAGTCAGCCATACTAGGGGTGTCAGATTATAAGTGCGATGACCAGATTATAAGTGCTTCCTAAAGTTTTACAGAACATGGAACCACTTTCTTTACAAAGTTCTAAGACTGAAGCTACCGTGAAACCTCAATAATTGTCTCAAATTCTGAATTACTGGGGTCAACCTAAATAGAAATTGGTCAGAATATATCAATCTGTTTAAGAGAAACATATCTGTAAGATGAATAATGTAAGAAATGTTGCTTTTAAAAATCTGCCAAACTTTCAACAAACCACTTAATCAGAATGCCATCTATATGGCAATTTGTTAATCATAAATTATTTAACTATTACTAAAACAGAAAAAAAAAATGGGCCTTCTTCCTGACAAATGCTAGCTATAGTTCATGAAAGCACATTTATTTAAAATAACCTAAGTGCATTAGAAAACAAGACAGAAACTTGGGACTGTATTAATTTTACTTTGATAGAAGTTTTACTGTTCTCTGTGGCATACTGCTATTGAGGTGACTAGACTTTTCACCTAGTAAGAACTTTTTAAAATTTTTTACAGTCATCTAGATGCTTCCAGAAGCAGCTATGAGTAAATTTTAAATGATTCAACGTGATTTATTTTAGTAATAGTCACATGGCACCCAATTTTTACCAGTAATTAAGATGAGACTTTAGTAATAAAGTAATCCTTTTTAAAGATTTTATGAATTCTCATCCAATTCCATTTTCTCCTTCTGTAATAATGAAAAATTTCCTTATCAATAGGCAACTTGACTTTTCCCAAAGATAACCAAAATTATTTCCTTAAGGGAGGTGTGTGTGTGTGTGTGTGTGTGTGTATCACATTTCTTTACAAGATATGGATAACAAATCCTTATCCTCATAAAAATACAAAGCCACTGAGATCCAAAAACTCAACATTATATACTCTGGGCTACTGTTCAAAACGAGCCACCAGAGTTGTTGCTGATTTTAAGGTTCTACATTTATATGGTCAATAATAAAATCAAAGGACACTGTTACAAATGTCTTTCTTCAATGTACCCAAAATTTAGGCTTTTATAATAGTTTCCCACAAAACATACTTAACTAGAGACTACTTTCTATATCTTAATCCTCAACTTGTTCAGGAAGGGATATTTAATAACATTCCTGATTTATTATGTTTAAGTATATACTTCAAATCATACACAGTAAACTTTCTTTTTTGGAGCTGTAGATGACAATTTTACTCTTGACAGAATTGAAGCAGAAAAAGGAATTTTAAATCAAATTAGAAAAATCACTTGGCAGGAAAAGCAAAATCCAAACAATAAAACCAACAAACAAATAAAAACTAATAATCCCAGACTACAGTTTGGAAGCTAACATACTTCATTAAACCTTTCACAGTTCTTGAAGATCAAACGGACGTCAGCCACAAAGTCATCTGGGACTTGGTAGTGTTGGGAATGTTTTTTCTGCAGCTTCTTTTTCACGGTAGATAAATCCATTGGTTTCTTTATAATTTTATAGTAGTTTGGTATCTAAAAGAGCAAATAAATACGGCTAGATAAGGATTCTCCCAAATGCCAAACTGTTTTTAATTTGAAAATCCATAGCGTATTAATTTTAGGGGGAAAATGTATTGACTAATGAGTCAGCTACTTGAAAATTTGGGGTATAGTGAATGTACTGTTTATCTTTGGCCCCAATTTTATCATGAAAATCAAATCATGTTCAGAATATGTGGCAGTATCCATGTTATGAAGACCCCTAAGTTCTATTTTTAAGAAGTAAATTTGGAAAGAAAGCAAATAGCAAGGATAACCAGTCACTAATGTTAAAGATACAGCTAGCTCATCAGAATTTTATGATTCCTGAAGAGGAAAGGGAAACAAAATGGTTACAAAAGGTATTGTTATTATTAGAACATGATATCTTTTAGAGGACTTAACTTTTTATCACAAAGTACTGTGGACATAGCAACAGAGGAAGAAAGATTGGAATACCACCGCCCCCGCCTCCCCCCCCCCCAAAAAAAAAAATTTTTAGCCACTCAGTGATCATGCTGGGAAGTTCTGGCCCCGACTCTTGGCCAAAAATTTGTATCCTCGGGAAATAACTAAACATAGAGAAGCTTTTTCAATAGTTCATGAAAAATAATTTGAAAGTCACTTTCTCATGAACTTAGACAAGACAGACTTGCTAATATCAGATGATTACTATTTGCACAAAACATATTCCTTGTGTCTAGACCAGTGGTTCTCAACCTTCCTAATGCCGCGACCCTTTAATACAGTTCCTCATGTTGTGGTGACCCCCAACCATAAAATTATTTGCATTGCTACTTCATAACTGTAATTTTGCTACTGTTATGAATTGTAATGTAAATATCTGATATGCAGGATGTATTTTCATTGTTACAAATTGAACATAATTAAAGCATAGTGATTAATCACAAAAACAATATGTAATTATATATGTTTTCCGATGGTCTTAGGCGACCCCTGTGAAAGGGTCATTCGACCCCCAAAGGGGTCGTGACCCACAGGTTGAGAACTGCTGGTCTAGACCTACGGTGCTGTAAAATTCATTTCTGAAGCTATTCAGTACACAAGTCTACTATTCAATATTGTATAGCACATCTGGTATTCAGTAACATCTTAATTCAACAAATGTTGGCTAACAAATAAAAGATGTATAGCACAGTCTCAGACCATTTATGACGCACTAAGCACCTCTTATGTTCCTTTTGCTGTGGGACTTCGGAGGCAATGTTTATTCCTTACTAAAGTCCCCTTTATGTTAAACAAAGAATATGACTTGCAAAATTTTCCCAATCTTTTCTTAATCTTGACTTTTCATAAAAGAGGGCTTATAAAGGCAGAGCCAGTGTAAAAGATTAAATTTTACACGTTTATTCAAATACACAGATTGTTTTCTCCCCGACCTACAGAACCTAGAATCGTAGAACTAGAATCTTAGAAATAATTTAGTCCAATACTCCCACTGCACAGTTTAAAGAGTAAAGGCAAGAATATATGTAATTTTCCCAGTTATAAGGATGGCTAATGGCAGAACTGAGAGAAGTTGCCTTCTGACTCCTAGGTTCAAGATTATTTCCATTATACCTATTACCACTTACCTTAAAGGTAATAGAGGACATGGAAATTAAATTCACTACGTTTCCATCAGAGCAACAAAATCTTTAAAAACAAACTCCAATTTTAACTAGTGGACCTCATATCCACTTGGCCCTACTAAAATTTCTGATTAATAAGAAATATTTAAAATGCTACTAGGTATGATGCTAAAACATGTACACAGGTTACCATAGACTATATATCCCTTGAAAGAACCCAATGAGGGAAGAAATAGTATTAGAAAAGAAAACTTGAGCCTTGGAGAGGTTGAGGAGAGTCTTCGAGAAGCTGGAGTTTTAACAGAGGAGTCTTCACCAGGGTGGTACTAAGGAAAACAACTCACCGAAGCAGGAACTGGCTCCTGGAATTCAATACTTAACTCATGACAATAGAGGTAAAGCAGAAGACGTTCACATTTCTGGCCAAAAAAAAAAAAAAAAAGATAAGAAAACCCTTAAGTTTTTTTTGCCTAATAAGATCTTCTTGAGAATAAGGAGTTTGTCATTATAAAGTACTAGAGGTCCAGTGCACAAAATTCGTGCACTCGGGGAGGTCCCTCAGCCCGTCGGGGGCCCTTGCAGGGAGCGGGCCTAAACCGTAATCCTTAGTGTGAGGTGGAGGCGGGAGAGGCTCCCGCCACCACTGAGCTCACCAGCTGTGAGCCAGGCTTCTGGGCTTCTGGCTGAGCGGCACTCCTCCTGTGGAAGTGCACTGACCACCAGGGGCAACTCTTGTATTGAGCGTCTGCCCCCTGGTGGTCAGTGTGCATCATGTCATAGTGACCGGTCATTCAGCCGTTCAATCGATTTGCACATTACCCATTTATTATATAGTATTACTACTACTAGTTCTCCAACTAAACATACACCCAAAGAAAACCGCTTCGTTTCCCGTTTAGTTTTGAAACTATCTTCTGTTTTACTTTAAATGCACTTATCAAAGACAGAGTGCTTTTGTTCTTATCTGATAACAAAAGTAATTTATCTACTATTAATGCAACTATTTATACACATGGAAGGAGTCAGAAAAGCAACATATAGCATTTTGTACAATAATTTATATATTACCTAGTAATCTATAAATTATTGCTGTTGCTACTCGTGTTGTAATCCCCTGTGGCAGGCCAGACATGTTTCTAATTCCTTTCTTGAAATTATTCCACTCAGGTTCAAAATTAAATAAAAACTATCTGTATCTTCTCAACCCAACTCTAGAATATTTTTAAAAAATCAGAAATAAACTGAAATGCATTTTACCTTTAGTTTTCATTTGCTTAAATTTCTTTTAAGTTTGTACATTCTAAACACATACCTTCTCTTCATAGATAGTGGAGGGGGGATTTTGTGAAGTATATACATCAGATTAGAGCCAAACATAATTAACCACATAACTATGTGAAAGGTATTTTTCTATGAAGATCAGACTATGGACTACATGAGCAGAAATCCGACTAAAGTGAGGAAGAGGATTTTGATTCCATTTTTAATACAATGAGAAGCTGTTCAAGGATGTTAAGCAAGGGAGTGATAGCCCTGTTTACATTTTTAAAAAGAATGTTATGAACAGTACAGAAAATGGACTGTAAGGGGGCAGGAGTAGAATCAGGGAGTCCAGTGAAGAGACTATTACAGTAGTGCAGATGACAGGCTATGATGGCTATCTCATAATTATCATTAGGGGAAGTAAGAACATAATATTATAAAGTCACTCCTGATTCTTTTATTTCTCTCAGATTTCTGGCTTGAGCAACAGAGATAATGGTAATATACTGGGGGAGAAGTACAGTTTTTATGTTGTTATTTGCTTATTTATTGCTTCTGCTTTTTGAAGAAGAGAATTAAAAATGAAGATTTTGGTTGAGGCATGTTCAGTATGAGAAAACTGGATATAAGAGTTTAAAGCTGAGGGCTAGAGATAAAGATTTCAGAAGTCATCAATATATCATCAGATGGAAAGATTAAAAAATGAAAGTGTATCAGGTTACATGTATATCACACTTAAAAAATGTAGAGCCAGACAACTACAGAATCCCTAATAATACATCAACTGATTTCACACTTACCCTTTGGTCCACAGGGCTTAATCCCTGTGCAGTTTTCCCCTTCTTACTATGTTGCAAATTGTCGCAATCATATTCAACTTCTGGTTTCCCAATATCTCTGCAAAATGTGCATATCCAGTCCCCACTAAAGAGGCAAACAGACAATTAGTCCATATAATGACAACAAAACCCACTCTAGGGAAGCTAATTCCCTAGAGGTTAAGACTCTAATTTGTTTGTTTTCATAAAGTGAAATTGTATGATAAAACTTTCCCCAAATTTTCCCAGTCATTCTTCAATTGATTACCTTCTGGAAAGCAATATAAAACCAGTATCTTGGCATTCAATAGGTCTTCTCATAGTACAAAGCTGATGAGCAGTATGCAGCGTAAGACCAATTCTCAGACACCAGTAATCACAATGATCCCGTATTAACAAACAAGAAAAGAGTACAGGACATGGAATTCCTCAGGTGTCCTGTACTGTTTTGGCATGTATTAAACATGCCAAAAATAAAACAACTATTTGTTCATAGCCAGTCAAAAGCCTAGACTCACATGCATACACACACACATATGAACACACACACACACACACACACACACACGCACACCCTTACAAATACAAGCACATGCACATATACACCTTAGCTTTCAAATCTGCTCAGTCTATCAAACCATAAACTCCAATGAGTCATGCATATTCACTCTCCTCATCGCTTACACACATACGCAAAGTCTACATCTCGAGACTATACTGTGTGCCAACAGCTTCGATTCCTCCCAAAGCCTCTGCCTTTGCGAGAAGGCATTCAGTGGCAAAATTCTAATGTTCCAGCAGATGTTACTATTCAAAGACAAGAAAAATATGAAAAGCCTTAATTTCAAGACCAAAACGCCAATACTTTTCTCTTCTAAAAGAGTAAAGAAAAAGAAGGCCCTTATGGCATCTCTGGCAAATGATTATGCCTCCTAAGATTTAGGTAAGAATACAATTCTTCAGAAAAATATTCTGACAGTTTTTATATCCACCAGTGTTCTAAGCCAAAAGGTTGAATTTTTCACATTCAACTATAATCACTGTTTCTCAGAAATCTGAGAGGAAATGTAAGCTTGTTATGTATAGACAGGGAAGGTGAGTTTCCCCAAGAACACCGGTTTACTTTCCTTTAAAAGAAACCCAGGGTAAGAGTTGGGGAAGAGGAAAGACAGAAATATGACTCAACTTATGATCTCTGAAATCAACTGAAGTTGAAACTGTGAACATAAAATGTTCAAGAAGAAAAAGAGCTCTTCTAAAACCAACTACTACTTGTAGATGTAGACGATCCCTAAAAATCTGTGAGCAGCCCAAAGTAATCAAGTTAATTAGTTCCCTACAGAGTTATCGCTAGACTACTTTGTAACCTGCCCAGCACATCTATTCCATTGCATTAACTGGCCTCTCAGCTTGCCTTGGGTGCTCAATGACAGCTGTTTTATTACTTGAAACTAGATTTAGCCGACATGGGGTCCAAGGACAATGCTATTTATTTTATCCCCAAATTATTTACTTTTAAATAAGTAATTCAGTAATTGTCTATTCAAAGTTAATGACTAAAAGACATTTCACCTAGATCCAAAGAAAAGCCTGAGAAGTCTGCACACAGTGCTTCAGGCAGGCAGAACCAATTAACTACTTCCAGTGGTCAAGAGAAAGCTGTTTCTAAAAAAATTCACAACACTGAAGGTGTTTTTACAAGGAGTTTTTTTCTTTAAAATGTCTTCTGAGAGCTTTCAGACATTAAAAAAGTTTGGGTAAAATTTAATATAGTTGTCATAAAACTAAATAGCATTCAGAAATAAAATAATAATTGTAGAACCTATTAAAATTTATGGCAATAGCCCGGCTGATTTGGCTCAGTGAATTGAGCATCGTCCCATGCACCAAGAGGTCACTGGTTCGATCCCCAGTCAGGGCACATGCCTGGGATGCAGGCTCGATCCCCAGTAGGAGGCGTCAGGAGGTAGCTGATTGATGTTTCTCTCTCCCTCTCAAATTAATAAAAACATGTATTTTTTTAAAAATGATGGCAATAGATTTAAAAAATTAACTTGAAGAGGAAATCTGCCGTTGCCCCTTATAATTAAGAGTTTTATCTAATTTGTTTACATTAAATATAAACTGAAGGCCAGGAAATAATCTACACTTTATCATTAATGCGGCAGCACTTACATCTTGGACTGTTTATTGTTCAACTATTAGTTTCTCTAGAAGGTAATACCAAAGGAACAACAGGCCCGTTTTACTATATATGCAATGGTTAAGAAGGCCACCTGCCTTAACTTTCTGGTGGGTTTGTTTGTTTGTTTATAAAAGTAAACATCATCAAAAAATCAATTATTTCACTGGTACCTTGGAAAGCTAAGAAGTGTTGGAACATGACAAGTTAGATGAAAGACCTTTGGACATTTTTCACAGCACAAGAGATCCCCTCCATTTTGGCAGACAGCACACCAATCTTCATTTGGGTCATCATCTTTGCTGTTGCCATCTCCTCCCATCCTTGCCGACCTGTGCATGAGGCTTCGAATTGAAGACTTTCCATTAACAAGGCTGCTGAGCCCTGACTGTTTGCAGCTCTCATTCGTATCTGTAGGCTCAGTTTTCACATGGTTTTCCACTCCTGGTAATGCATCCAACTCACTCTCTAGATGCAGGTTGGTTGAGAGAGGTGGTGTCAAACTACTCTCAGGACTGCTCAACTAAAACAAAACAAGGACAACCTCTTGAAGAATCATTTAATCCATTATTGTTAGCTGTGTGTGTGTGACCTTATGTTAACATGTATACAGATATACTGACCTAACTTAAAATTACTTTGGAAATCATATTAGTGACATAAAGGAATGAAATTAACCCCAAATTTATTTAGGCATGTTAATTTGTGATTTTAGGGAGCAGTCTCCGAAATATTGGTTCACTCAGATAGTAAGGAAATTAATTTAACAGCTAAGCACACTGACTGGGAAGTGAGCATAGGGTTATACTTTTCCTAAAGAGAGTTGACGTTGGTGTGTTATTTTTCACTGAAGAATCTACTGCATAGCTTTTGAGGAGCATTCTTCTGCCCACTTATTCTACAAATGTAGGAAGATTATGACAATATAAAAAAGAATCTTTTAACCTGTTTTGGAGGTACTTTCCAGATTAAGTCCTGGATGAAGAGGTGATACTGCTCCAAACCCATGGCTAAATGTGCTGCTCTCTAAACCTACATACAGTGCATTCAATATATAGCTCGAGCTAAAATTTCTATGTGCCAACCACACAGAAGCCCAGGCAGGAAGGAAAAAAACCAAGATAGAAATTTCTAAACAAAGAGACTTGTGCCTTCTTTCATCCTATATTATAAATTCTATAAAGTGTCCCACCTGGGAACTCTAAAATGGGTAATAATTCATAAGCTAAAGGCAATCTTTCCCCATCACAAAACTCTTTGATTGTTAACTTCTTTCATGTCAGCAGCCTTAATTCTGAATGTACAGGTCCAGGCAAATAGCCAAGGATCATTTGTGGCCTGAGATGATTAAAAAATTCAGAATAAGATAGAACCTGACTTAAAATCATGGCAAAAAATATGACCAATTAAAAACGAAAAGATAATTTTAAATGAATCTTCAGTATGATTCTTTTCTGATTAGTTACAGCTAGCATTTCGAGACACTGAGTTAGAAAAAGAGATAACTGGCCTAGTACCAGGCATAGAAATGCAAGCATAAGTACATGTTCCGGAAGCACTATTCAGTCTAGCACACTCGGAGCGGGAAGAATCCCTGGCAGACCCCAGCGGGCTTTACCATGCAGGCACTCCTCCTGCCATCCTCTGTCTTCTCTTGCTTCACGGCTCCTGAAAAGCTACATATTTCATCTTCAGTCCCAGGTTCTTGCTTGACCTTCACTTGATCAGACTTGAAACTAAGACTTGTCTTCTCAGCAGTTCTTCCTGATGACCCACAGCTAATAAAAAAACAAGAAAGGCCACATATGTTTGACTGTGTGGTGTGTATAAAAATAATGTTCATTAATGTGAAAGCAACAGACAATTTATTAATTTTAAGATAAGATACTTCATAATGTTGTTAAGAGGAGTGTGGTATAAACTTAGCTTCCAATTCTTAAAAATGTAAATCAAACTTTCAGAAGATCTTAAAAACACATGTTATGTTCTGAGGCACTTACAATACACCAGGTAAGAAGTCTAGTAAACAATCATTTTCCCTTCTCTCTATAAAAGTAGTTTCAATTCTTCTCTACTCCCAAACATCTGAAGAAAATAACATCAACCGTGGTTCATGAAGCCTTCTCAAAGGAATTGCTAGTTTAGTTTTTATGGGCAGGGAATTGGGAAAAGAGGATAACAAATAGTAAACAACCTAGAATGTCCTTATTTGAAATCAATGTAATGATACAAGACTAATCAGTTCTATCTAGAACACAAAGCAAAACCACTGGCAAGAGATGTGAATAACTGGTAAGACTGTATTACTTCTAAGAATGAACACCTTTTTTTTCACTCAATTTATTCTTTTCTTCTAAAAGTACTGATTATTAAAGTACAATTAAAAAGTCAGGCAAGTGTTTGAAAGGACCAATCTTCAAAATGCATGTGCACACATGCATACAAAAGAATCCTATAACATAAATCTTTCTTGCATTATATTATACTAAATTATTTAAACTAAAGAGTAAAAGTCAACATTATTGTATTTTGTCTTAAAACACACTCTCTCCCACCACCCCCATTTTCTTAGTTCTGTCCACCAAAAAGGCATAAAAAACAATGACTAATTCAGTAGTAATGAGTATCCCTAGTACCTAGAAGACTGTCTCCAAGCACCATTTCTCACTAACATGACCAGATTTCTTAGAGAAATGGCTGATTCCAGTTCTGAAGCAGGTAATGTACAAGATGAACCTGGACAATCATTTTATAACAACAAACAAGGAAGCCTTCAGAGGATGCTGGGGTTATACCCCCCAAAAAGGGGGGGACTTTAAAAAGCTCTGACAGGCCAAAGATAAAAAAACTTTAAGCATCAATAAAATAACATCTACAATGGTTTGGATCATATAAAATATATTTAAGTATATGAGTTCATAAAGTTAAAAATAATAAAACCATTGGTCACTGTTGAAGGGTGCTGGGAAATCAACTCAATAGGTAAATAGAGAGAACAAATCTATTCACTCAACTTTTCCCATAACCAAATAGTTGATGGCAGAAAGTGTCTCTTTACAGAATTGTTTAAAATAATAAACAAAGAAGGAATAATACAATAATTCAAATGCATCATTTTTCAACCAGTAAAAAAAAAGTTAGGCAATGATCATTAATGATCGCTTTCACAAAACAAACAAATAGAACCCGACCAGACATTATGTGACCCTTACGGGAATACACAGCACCACTACCCTTTCCCCCAAATCAAACCTGAATCCAATCAAACCTCCTGATCTAAATACAATATAGAGAAAAAACAGCACGCAGTGTATTTAAATGACAAAAATGGATGGAATGCTATAGGAAAAACAATACACCTCCTCACATACATTGATTCTGACTTCAACATATATATTGATGGCAATGTAAAAGTATTTATGGGAAATTTTAAAAGGTATTTATGGGGAAATCTGAACATTTAACTGTATCTCTAGTAATATTAAAGAATTATCCATTACATTTTTTCTAGGTGTGACAATAGTTCTGTGGTTATAAAATTTTTAAATCCTTATATTTTAAGTGATATATTCTGAAACAGTCACAAGTAAATAGGATATCTGAGATTTGTTTCAAAATAATCCAGACCAAGAGGGAATGAACAGAAGAATTAAGATTGGCCATGACTTGGTGATTATTGAAGCTAGATTGTAAGTATATAAGAGTTCACTGTAATATTCATTTTTTAAAGTATATATTTGAAATATTTCTTAATAAAAAATTGTGCCTATTAATAATGTAATACTCACCTGCCTCTGCTGCCAGTACTAGATGTACTAGGGGGTCTCACAGGGGTGTGAGAATTGGATAAACCTGCAAATAAGTCAAAATGAATATTAATGCAGGTATGAATATTCAGAATTCTACCTACTAGTTACAGATTCCAAGATGATCATAATACAATTTAGCTGCCCTGGCCAGATAGCTCAGTTGGTTAGAGCATTGACTGATAAACCAAGGTTGTGGGTATGATAAGTAGGACAACAAATCAATCTCTCCCTCTGTTCCTCCCTCCCTTCCTCTATCTAAAATCAACACATAATTTTTTTTTAATTTCCTGAAAATCAGACCCGGCGTAGCCCTGAAGTCAGGTATGGCATTTGTAATCATTGGCAGACCGCAACCAGTTTCTCTCAGATGAGCACCGTCCCCAGAGCCTCACAGCAGCACGGTCCGATCAATGAAAACTGACCAAGAGAAAGCTATTTGCCATCTTTCCCTACGTTATCTGATAAATATACTACTTATATTCCTATTATTTATTCTTTTTTTTCAGAGTTCTAGAAGAATTACTTTAAACCTCAAAAATTATATGACTCAAAAAATCTATTAATGATGCATCTCATGCAAAACTCACATTTAAATTTGAACTATTCTTTCTCTAGAAATAATGAGGTAATCTGTTTTAGTAAGAAAAAAATAACATCTCATTTATACCAGAAAAATATATCCCATAACCACTCTGCACCATAAATCTGGGGGGAGCTGCTTCAATCATTCACTCTTGGTAAGGTCAATAAACACCTGGGTTTCGGAAGAGAGCTACATCTCATGGACTTGATTGGTCACTTTTTAACAGTTTCCAATAAATTTAAGTTTTTGTTTTAAAATTACCATTTGAAAATTCACTTGCCTTTCCTCAACTCTTTTTTTAAAACAATTTTTCCACTTTTCATTATTTTACCAAGTGTTTTGAACTTGGGTTGAAACCAAAGAATTCTTCAACTGATGATCTATATCATAAAATATAAGACATGGAAAGTAAATGGAACTACAGGTCCAGCAATGAACATGAATAAAGCCGGGGAGAGGGGTACACTGGAGTTCTGAACCGTGTGCACTACGATAGAAACTCCTACTACTTCAGTTAGCTGAAGAATGCCTAAAGTATTTGAAGAAAAATAGAGCAGTCAGAAAATACATATATGTTATGAGGTTGTTACTTTGGTGCGTCAACTTGGCTAGAATATAATACCAGTTGTTTGTCCAAACACCAGTCTAAATGTTATTATGAAGGTATTTTAAGATGTGATTAACACATAAATCAGTAGATTTAGAGTAAAAAAGATCAACTTCCATAATGTGTTTGGGCCTCATCCAATGAGTTGAAAACCTTAAAAGACTGAGATCAACCTGGCTGGAGATCCTGGCTAGAACCTGGCTAGAACCTGGCTAGAGAACCTGGCTAGGCTGCTGATCAACTGAAAAAAAAAAAAAAGGACTGAGATCACCAGAGGAAGAATTTTGCCTCTACACTCAAGGCTGCAACATCAACTCTTCTCTGGGTCTCCAGCATGGCTACCAACCTGCAGACTTCGGACTTGCCAGCCCTAACAATCACATGAGCTATTCCTTAACATCTCTCTCTCTTTCCCTTCCCGCCCGCGCACAAATCTCCTATTGATTCTGTTTTTCTGAAGAACCCAAATGCATATACTGAGAGACAATTTTTGTTAAGGTGTTAAAGAAATGAGGCAGTACCTCAGTTGGTTTTACCTGATGATCCTGGAGATAGGGCAGAGGGACCTGGAGAGGGATTCATGGTACTTGTAGGCTGTGGGGGTAGGTGGCTGCCTGAGATGTATCTACTTAGTAGATTATCTAAACTACTTGAACCAGCATCTTCCAACTAAAGAGAAAAACAAAAAAGATAAATTTGCTTTGATTAAACAGAGATGTTATTCATTTAATTACTATAACCACTTACACTCAGTTTCCTAATAAATAGATTAGCCTACATCTAAGTCAGCTTAACGATTGCTTCCTTAGGTTCCCTGAGGCTCCACACAGTATAAAGTTGATGTGAATAAAGCCATAATAATATGCAACAAACACCTGGCAGGTCAGGACAGACCCAGCGATCCACTAAGCTCTTTATGTTCTGCTATGAAAACAGGGCTGACACACTGACATGTCTGCCTTTACTCAAAACTGATGCAGGACCCTGTTTTCCAACATCCTTGTTCCGTCTTCCTCCCTTTATTTCAACAAACATAGCTCCCCCAAAACCATTCACCTAAATAGAAATTTAATGTCAATACCTCACTTTAAAGCTCTCAATTGTCTATACTCAACAGAAAGCCCTTAGCCTGAGATATAAGGTCCCTCATTACACACACAAAGAGGGGCAGTCGACAGGCTGTAGATTAAAGATAGAAGCCTTGGCGCCAACTTTGGCCTGATTTCCAATTGAACATCAATTTCCTATCTTTAAAATATTTATCTCTACTGAGGACTGTGATGATGAAATGAGAAAATACATATGTAAGAAATAGTAAACATATACTATTTAATTATGAAAATTACCATAAGTAAAAGTTTATAGTATTCCATATAAAAGATCATCAAATTATTCTTAAATAATTGCTACCCTTCTTGCTCGTCTGTTTGTATCCACACTTGTCCCTTTTAATCTTCTCTCCTGCTAGAGGCAAGATCACTTTTTGAAAACTGAACACATATTTATTACTTGCTGTCCTTTCCTCTCAAAAACCACACTGACTTTCATGACTATAAAACAGAAAAACATGGCATTGAAGCAGAAACTGTGAAAGAAATTATACATACAAAAACCAAGGTAGAATTGGATTGACAGAAAACTAATCAGAAGAAAGCAGCTCAAAACATATCAGAGGCAAGGGAGGACTCTTCTAAAAGTAAATAGATTCAACATCCATTAATGAAAAAAAAAACTATCAACAAAGTGGGTATAGAGAAAACATACCTCAACATAATAAAGGACATAAGTCATAAGTGCAGAGACACATCATACTTAACAGTGAAAAGCTGAAAGCTTTTCCTTTAAGATCAGGAAAAAGACAAGGATGACCACTCTTGTCACTTTTATTCAACATAGTATTGGAAGTCCTAGCAAGAGCAATTAAGAAAGAAAAAGAAAGAAAAGGCATCTAATTTGGATAGGAAGAAGTAAAACTGTCACTATTTGCAGATGACATGATATTATATAGAAAACCTAAAGATTCTACCAAATATCCAAAATGGCCCTTGCATTTATTTTCTGCTTTGTTACATAGTTAATGCTACCCCATCTGCTTCCTGTATAGCTTCCCATGTTTCCTTTTACTATACCATGGAAACTATAGGACAGGAGAGAAAGTGGTTCTTCTAGAGATAATATAATACGTTGTTTCCCTTTCTATTTTCGGTTCATATAGTTAACTATGTCTTACTGTGGCTGGGCTTTTGTGTAACACCTCTAATTCCTTTTAAACACAAGTGACAATAACAAGTATTGGCAAGAACGTGAAGAAACTGAAATCCGCACACACTGCTGCTGAGAAAGTAAAACGGTACAGCTACGTGAAAAACAGTTTGGAGAGTGGCTGCTAATGGGTACAGAGTTTCTTTCGGGGCAGTGGTCGGCAAACTGCGGCTCTCGAGCCACATGCGGCTCTTTGGTCTCTTGAGTGTGGCTCTTCCACAAAATACCGACTTCTGCACATGGGCCACAAAGTTTCAATCGCACTGTACGTGCACGCCCGCATGTGGTATTTTGTGGAAGAGCCACACTCAAGGGGCCAAAGAGCCACATGTGGCTCGCGAGCCGCAGTTTGCCGACCACTGTTTTGGGGTAATGAAATGTTCTGAAATTAAGTGGTGATAGTAGCACACTCTTGTAAATACACTAACAACCAATGAACTGTACATTTTTAAAAGTGGGGTTTTATGGTATGTGAATTATATCTCAATTTTTAAAAGTAAATGATAACTTTAATAAGAGAAGGTGTATCAGAGAAGATATGGATTCTATTCTCTGCCCACTTTAAAAAATTAAACACTGGAGGGCACACATTCCAGAGCTTCTTGTCTTGACCTCATAGCTCTTCTGGGCAAGATGACAAGGAAAGTATATGTGCCTTCTTCCCTTATGATGCCCAACTTTTCAAAGATGTGGGACATATACACTTCCACCACCTGGTCTGTGTAAGAAAGAACTAGACCAGTGGTCGGCAAACTGCGGCTCACGAGCCACATGCGGCTCTTTGGCCCCTTGAGTGTGGCTCTTCCACAAAATACCACATGCGGGCAAGCACGTACAGTGCGATTGAAACTTCGTGGCCCATGCACAGAAGTTGGTATTTTGTGGAAGGGCCACACTCGAGGGGCCAAAGAGCCGCATGTGGCTCGAGAGCCGAAGTTTGCCAACCACTAAACTAGACCAAGGTCAGAGCAAATTATGATAAGTGTTCCATTAGCAACCTTCCTTCTCCCTTTGAAAGTTTCTTTAAGAATTGGAATCAGCCGAGACCGGTTTGGCTCAGTGGATAGAGCGTCGGCCTGCGGACTGAAAGGTCCCAGGTTTGATTCCGGTCAAGGGCATGTACCTGGGTTGCGGGCACATCCCCAGTAGGAGATGTGCAGGAGGCAGCTGATCGATGTTTCTCTCTCATCGATGTTTCTAACTCTCTCTCTCTCTCCCTTCCTCTCTGTAAAAAATCAATAAAGTATATTTAAAAAAAAAAAAAAAAGAATTGGAATCAAGTCCTGCCTATCTTTTTACTAGAGGTCCCTCAGCGCCCCACCACTGCCGCTGGTCGCCCGCCATGTTCCACGCCGCCCCCTGGTGGTCAGAGTACGTCATAGCAAGCGATCAAACTCCCACTCTCCCAATCGAACTCCCAAGGAGACACTTTGCATATTAGCCTTTTATATATATAGATAGAAGATCATTAATGCCCAGGACTTCAGCATACATAGTGCTTAGTAAAATGTCAATGACTCCTTAAACATGTACACACCTCTCTCTGGTTGCCCAAAGCCTCTGAAAACTAACAGCTTTCCAGGCCTCCAATCCCAAACTATCTCCCTGCAATCTCTACAAATATTAGGGAGAGAACTGGACTTGTAATCAGGAATCTAGATTTTGAATTACAACTTTCCCAACACATTTACTGGGTGACTCTGAGAAAGTCACTATCCTCTTACTTTCATCCATAAAGTAGATATGTTACATCTATATATATAAAATCCTAAGCAACCGGTCAACCAGTTGATCGTTGGACCAGTTGCTATGACATGCACTGACCACCAGGGGGCAGACGCTCAATGCAGGAGCTGTCCCCTGGTGGTCAGTGCCTCCCACAGTGGGAGCGTCACTCAGCTGACTGAAGGGCACCAGACATCCCCCAAGGGGTCCAGGATTGCAGGCCAGGCTGAGGTACCCCGGGCCTCTAGTATCATATAAAATGATTTCAAGCATTAAACTAATATCTGTTAAAGTTCTTTGTAAATTATAATAAGCTTATAACTCAGCAATTTTATTTTTTACAGATATAGCCCAAAAATTTCCATATAGCCCAGTACTCTTAGTGCCAACACAACTACAATTTGCTTAGCCAAAAAAGATCTCTCCAAACATCAGGAAAGCAATCAGGTTAAAATAATTTACAATGAATTCATGATTTTTGAGCAATATTGGAGTTATATTGAGGATTGCTAGTTTTAACACAATGTAACTTTTAAAAATTCAAATATATTCTAAATTTAAAATGCCTCAACTTAAAAACAACAACCAGAAAAATATACTCAAAATCCCTAATTAAGACAAGGTTTTAAATCTTTCATTAAACTTAAATACAAACCTGTATGGGTGGAATATCTGGTAGTGATGGAAGGTTTTCTGGGTTGGTAACTGAGGGGATTAACTCTATTGCTGTAACAGATGGGCTGGTGGGACCTCGATTTGCACTTGCCATAGTAGCGGTAGTAGGGCTGGTTGGATTGATTGTGGTGTTGTGCACTGACACAACAGGAAAGGGTCCAGCATGTCCTGGGTTTGAGTGCTGTTAGGAAAGAAGATGCTATCATTATTTAATCAGCGGTGATACCTTAATATGAATAAACCTTGACAACAATTTTTAATTTAAGTTAGATTGTACAAGGGTCTGATAACTATGGTTGAGAAACAAAAAAGTAAGCCCTCTCAAACTTATACAGGAAATAAATAATAATTTAACTCAGCCTTTTCATTTTTTCTATTTTTTTTTGTTGTATTTAGGAAAAGCCAAACTTGACAATAATTTTCAACCCGTCAGCCTGATGACATGATCTTATTCAGAACAAAGATGCATGTAAACAGATGATCTGGAAGCCCCCGAGTTTTCAAACAGCATTTCCTGAAAGACACTGTTTTGTCTACATTCCTCTTTGACTTTTTTTTTTAAATAAAAGGAATTAATTGTGTATTGTATAATTTATATGTAAATAATGACTCTACAAACAGAAATATGACATCAATTCCTGACTCTAACACGTGTGACATAATCTCAGTTATTTAGAAATGTGAATAATGATGAACAAAAATGAACATATCTGTCTCATTGTAAGGGCTGTTATGAGGATCGTTTAAGATCATGTAGATGAAAAGCTTTGGAAAATAAATTTCTATACACATATAAATCATTTAAAACATTAAAAAATGTAAAATTCTAAACTTCGGGGATTCTGTAGGGACCTAAAGCATAAGAGCACTGTTCTTAGGTGGCTGGTGAGTGTGATTCTGTAGCTCCTGCCCTCTTCCAAAGGGTGTACCTGGCCCCCCAGTAATACTTGAAGGCTTTCCATGTATTAAGGGGTGAACACTTCGCCCTGACCAGTTTGGTTCAGTGGATAGAGCGTCAGCCTGCGGACTCAAGGGTCCCAGGTTCGATTCCGGTCAAGGGCATGTACCTTGGTTGCGGGCACATCCCCGGTGGGGGGTGTGCAGGAGGCAGCTGATCGATGTTTCTCTCGCATCGATGTTTCTAACTCTCTATCCCTGTCCCTTCCTCTCTGTAAAAAATCAATAAAATATATTTTTTTTAAAAGGGGAGGGGGGGTGAACACTTCTAGGGCAATTAATGCCCAGAGCTTCAATCATATGTACTTTTTTCTAAAGAAAACCCAATTTACCTAAGAATGTGCTGTGGTCTGCAAGTTCTTTTTTCATTATTTCGCAACTACCCTTCTCCACAAAAAAACAGCAAACCTCTGACCCATTCCTAATCTTATCTAGCACATTGCCCCAAGGTAAAAAACAAACAGAGAGACAAGTTAAGGTACAATAAAGCTGTCACACTGTTGATCAAGTGCTTGACCAAAACCTGTGTAACAAATTTTTAAGTGGGTTCTGATATTTGATGAGCAACAAAAATTAAGGAACACCTGAAAAGCCATCAATTGATAAGATATTTTAAAGTTTTGACAGCTCATTGTGAGATTCATTCAGCTTTGATAACCTAGAAAATGTTCAAAGAATTGAAATTCTTATACTTCCCAGACACAATTTTTTGTGAACATGTCTCCTGAGCATCACATGAAAACAAAAAAACAAGCTAGTAATAAAAACTGATGTTGAATTCTGACTTACTCTAACAATAACAAACACATATAACTGAAAAGACTCTATTTTCCTCAAAAAGAAATGTAGATCTAAAAGAATTTTACTCTTTATGTTTCCTAATATTCTTAAAGCATGTAAATAAATATGCTGCTTAAAAAACTGAATAGGAATAATTGTAATACAAATTTGGTCCAAAGAAAAAGTTTCAGTTTAATAATAGCCTTACTATGGCTGGAAATTTAACAATTTTTATTTTATAATAAACATTTTTTCCTGCAGAATAACTGCAAAGACTGATTGATTTATAACTTAATCTAACATAAATACACATATTTTTATAAAATGCTACAGAGAAAGTAGAAGAGATATTCAAGTCCCAGCGTAAAATTTTGACTTTCAAAAAGGAGCTTGCTGTGGTATTTGGGATGCCAGTGGATTCATTTACTAGAATAAAATATAAGAGTTTTACTTTATAATGTCAATATTTACAATATGCCAGAAATTATGTCCTTTGGAACTATTTAAACTTAAACTTATAATGTAACTTTTAAATGTCAATCTTTAAATGTGAGAGAGCACTAATTCTTCAAAAGTTGAAGGACAGTATGTCAACTTTGGTATGCAGATTGATGTGAGTCAGTAAGAGTTCACACATTTCTGAGTAACCCCCTCCTAGAAATTCTGATTCAGTGGGTATGGCTCAGAATCTGTTTCTGATGAGGCCTCCCAATCATTCTGATGGTCTTTAAAAAATCTTTAAAAGAGCACTAGCTGGTTTAGCTCAGTGGATAGAGTGTCGGCCTTTGGACTGAAGGGTCCCGTGTTCGATTCCGGTCAAGGGTACATGCCTGGTTGCAGGCTCAAACCCCAGTAGGGGGTGTTGATCAATGATTTTCTCTCATCATTGATGTTTCTCTCTCTCTCTCTCTCTCTCTCTCTCTCTCTCTCTCCCCCTCTTACTTCCTCTCTGAAATCAATAAAAAAAATATTTTTAAATGTTTTTTTAAAAAAACCTTTAAAAGAAACATCACTCCAACTGTTATAAAATAAACTGCATTCTTTCATAACTAGAAATCCTGTATCAAAGTAGCTTCATTTTAAAATCATGCCTCCTATACAAAGGTAACCTACTATTCAGACAAAGAGTAAAAAACATGTCCCTAAATACATTTATTTTTAAGGCTGGGTATATCTACATCCCAGAAAGAACAATACTAAGTAGAGAGAAGCAAAAAAATAAAAATAAAATTTTAAAAATACATTATTTTGTTCTCAAAACAAAATGTATTGGGCTCAAAATGTCACATTAAAAGAGCAGAGGAACAATTTCTGGAAACTATGGTTCTAATCTTGGTTTTACCGTTATCTCTTGTGACCTTGGGGAAATAACAAGCTCCTTTATTATTTAGATCTATAGAATGAATTGGCTGGACTAGATCAGGGGTCCTCATCCCATAGTATATAGAGGGGTTAATGGCATCAAAGAAGTTGTTAAAATTGAATACAAAATTTTATGTCTTAATTCTTAAAGGTATCAGTGACTCTCCCCCCACCAACTGATCAAGAAAAATGATGTCTTTTAGTTTTAAAATTGTATGATTCTTACAAATGTAACTCTAGGCATACTTGTCTTTGGAGGTGTGGCTGCATCATGGAATATTGAGGGCCGCTGTGCCTGGGTATCCCTGGTATTCGGGCAGCATTCTGAGCCAATCTCATCTGATGGGCTTGGAAAGCTCCACAGTTCATGTTGTTTCTTTGCATTGTTTGCACACTGATCAGTCTTGGAGGCTACAAAGGGTAGAAATTACATTTCTATAATAATATTTTTATAGATTTATTTTCAATCATTAAATGTTATATAAAAAGACTTGTCAGGATACAGAAGGACATAAAGTAAAAAGGTAAGTCATTCTCCTCATCTCTAGCTCCAAGCCCCTTTTCTCTCAGTATATGTGTGTGTTTAAAGCATTAACTTATCCAACCCTACATTAACAGCTCTGATTTGGATGGGGGAGGAGAGAATAAGAGAGGTACACGGATGGGAATGATTTGAACAAATGCCTAAAGAATATATCAGGCCCAGCCAGCGTGGCTCAGTGGTTGAGTGTAGAACTATGAACCAGGAGGTCACAGTTCGATTCCCAGGCAGGGCACATGTCCAGGTTGTGGGCTCGATCCCCAGTGTGGAGCGTGCAGGAGGCAGCCGATCAATGATTCTCTTTCATCACTGATGTTTCCAACATTCTCTCCCTCTCCCTTCTTCTCTGAAATCAATAAAAATATATTTTTTTTTTCAAAAAAGAATATATCAGTATTGGGCAAAAATAATCTGGCTCTTGGGCCCAAAATCACATGTATGTGTAAAACAAAAAAGATCTAGTTTGGAGGAATAAAAACTTGTGTACTAGTGAGTTAATTTTGTTTCCCATGGTAAGTATTTACTTACTGCCCTTCCTCACACTTCCCAACATCCCTGCGATCCCCAGAACAAATATTTAAACTCTGACCTTGCTGTTTTCTCCATGCTAGTCACGTGAAATGTGTAACTCATTTATGGAGGACAGAATGTAGCCCTGAGGTCTTCACAATGTGTACCAATAATGTAGTGATACAATACTCACCTGTTGTTGTAACATCTGAGGAGCTGCTTGTCGTGGGTGCTGTTGTGTTGTTGTTGTTGTTGTTGATACAGGGGCAGGTGGTTGCTGTATCCTCATCTGTTGCAACTGCTGATGCTTCTGTGCATACACTTGTTGTTGCATGTGTTGGAGTCGAAGTTGTGCTAAGTTAATCTGTCCAGGAGTTTTACTAATGTGGTTTGTCCCTGGAGGAACTTGCCCAACTACAACATTAGGAGTATACCCAGGAGCTGGTTTACTCTCTATTACTAGATTACCTGGAGAATTTAAAAAATGAGAATAATTTTCATATAATCAAATAAATCATCTACTTTGTAGATTAATCAATATCTTTTCCTTTTCTCAGACAACCCTCAGCACTCAAAGCTTCCAACAGTATAGCAGGAATGGGAGCTAGGTTTAAAGATGATAAAGATCAGAAACCTAGTATAATCCAAAGACAAATAATCAGCTTTTGATTGCTCAGATATATTACCTGCCCTTATGCTTTATTTACGTAGATTTATAGAAAATTTAAGAGTTGAAAGAGATGTTATTAGAGGAAGCCCATCTAGTCAGTCTAAATCAGCAGTTGCCAACCGATGGTGCACGGACCACAGTGGTCCGTGAGGTCCGAAAGGTTGGCAACCACTGGTTTAAGGAAACCTTTGGAGCAGCGGTCACCAACTGATGGTCCGAGGACCACTGGTGGTCTGTGAGGTCCGAAAGGTTGGCGACCGCTGGTCTAAATCAATTCTCCTTTGACAAGATTCAAGGATACTCAAGATTACTATTGCTGATTCCACCTGCTTTTGAATTGCCAAAGTGTGCAGGGCAGAGTATTGCACTGCTACAAAACTGTCTTCTGTGGAAATACTGAATGTTTTAAATCACTTATGTCCTTAGAAATGACACTTTTCCTGATTTCTCATATCAATATCCCTGTACCTCTCTTGCTCTTCCCTCCCCCATCCAAATCAGAGCCCACTGCTTTCTAAAAACAGCAGGCAAATTTTAGGAAGGTTTGATCTAAGGTAGAGTTGGCAAACCTTTCCTATAACAAGCCAGATATTTTAGGCTTCATAAGAACTGTCATATGTTCTTTGTTTTTTATTTATTTGCTTTTACAACTCTTTAAAATGTAAAAAACCAATTTAGCTACCATGCCACACAAAAACAGTTTGCTGGTGCCTGATCTAAGGCTTTAGCCAAATCTGAATATATACAAAGACTACTTTTTCACAGAAGGCTGTCCACCTCTGCTTTGATAGCTTCTGTACACAGTTCTAATTGTTGGAAAAGTTTTTGGGGTTTTGCCTTGTTTTAAACTGAGCTATTGGTCTGTCGCTCTGTAACTTTCACCTATGGTCCTTAGGTCCACGCTGTGAAGTAACAAAAGCAAAGTCCATTTCTCTTCCATGTGAAAAGAGCTACTTTTATCTTTCAAACATTCCTCAGGACACAACTTTCAGACACATCAGCATCCTGGACATCCTCCTCCAGAGGACGATTCGGTACAATTAATATACAAACTACTAAGCATCTAACAAATTCTTCCAGAGAATGAAGATCCGTTTGCTAAGTTTCAATGAAAGAGTCAATGCCAATTTAATAGATGTCAGGAAATATTAAAAATGATACATTTTTAAAAACTATACAGGAGACTCTCAACATTCTTAAAGATATAATGAACATATAGTTTAGGTGAGTTTCCATTGAAAAACATATTTTCTGAGTGAAGTTAAAAAACTTTCAATATATAAAATTTGCTTTAGATACTTCCTCCTCCTAATTCAGTGTTCCAAGTTATATTCATAAAACTAATTCTTTCTCACCTAAATTGACTACATTCTTTGCCCAGAAGGTGGGATCACAATGAAAACGTATTGCTCCATTAGCAGCAGGGACGGGATCACAACGAGCTTTCAAAATATGGCGCAACTGAAAAGTAATCTTAAAGGGAAAAAAAATTCACATTAGTCTTAAAATTAAATATCACTTAAAAAAACATAAGATAAAGACATAAAAGCTCATGTAGCCCCACAGTGTCAGTCAAAGACTCCCTATGTTAGCAATCAATGCACATGTGTGCATTTCTGCCATTTCTGATGATAAACTGCATACAATACTACGTATCTTCAAAACAGAATACTGTATGATTCCACTTATATGAAATTCTAGAAAAGACAAAAATCAGACTAATAGTTGCCTAGGGCCTGGGGTAAAAGGGAACAAGGAAACTTGACTGGGTGGTGGAGATTTTCTGTACCTTAATGTGGTGGTGAATACATCTGCCAAAATTCAAAATCTACACTTTAAACAGGTGCAGTTCCCGAATGCATAACAAAGTCAACCTACAGAAAAATAAAGACAACATGTGCCTCACCAGCCGCTTGCTGTACAGGAGGGCTGTGCTGCTGCCACTCGCAATTGCCCAGTTTGTAAAGTTCATCACATGCTTCACCTGCCGCGAGAGGCCTGTGATGTCATTCTGCTGCTGTATTAACTTCATCTGTCTTTCTTTTGTAACAGTCTGAAACAGAACAAGAGGGTCGCCCAAGAATTCTATATGAAAAAAATCAAGTCATTATTTCTATTGAAAATGAACACAATACTGCCTGGCCAGTGTGGCTCAGTGGTTGAGTGTCGACCTATGAACCAGGAGGTCATGGTTAGATTCCTGGTCAGGGCACATGCCCAGTTGCAGGCTTGATCCCCAGTAGGGGGCATGCAGGAGGCAGCTGATAAATGATTCTCTCACACCACTGATGTTTCTCTCTCTCTCTCCCTCTTCCTTCTTCTCTGAAATCAATAAAAATTAAAAATTAAAGAAAATGAGCACAATACCTACATATATATTTTTTAACATATAAGTTAACAAGTTCCTCATTATTTAATAAGCCTATCATCAAAAGAAAAGTTACTCACAAAAGTGGGACTAAAACTTCGTTCTCTAGAGAAACTGTTACTTATATCTCTTTTTTCCTTCAAAAGATTAAATGTTTTTGTTATAGTGTCTTTCCATCAGGCTAATCCAGAAATTTTCAACCAGTGTGCCACAGTAAGCACACTGGTGTGCCACAAGAATTTTTAGAACATGCAATACCTGAACTCTTTTCCCTTAGAATGTCAAATAAAACATGACAACAGCCAACACAACAATAGCCATCCAATGTGAATGAATCAAAAGTATACCTTTTGGTGGGTGGGGGAGGGGGAGAGGGGGGGAGGGAAGGTGAGATCATCAAAAAATATTTTTTTATGTGCCGAAGAATTTTAGTTATTACTTTATCTGTGCTGTAAGATGAAAAAGGTTGAAAATCACTGGGCTAATACATTATACGAAGTATATAGCACAATGAGTTGACTTTTAGAAATAATGTTATATAATCTTAACCCACTACACTTTCAGGCCGAAGAAAACTTTCTGTTACCAGTGCCACCTACTGGTGTGGCATGAAGCTAATGTTCAAATCTCTTCTCTTAAATGCTCAAAGTGAGAGAGATAAATTCCACAAGCTCTTAAGAGTAGAGATTAGGGAAAGTTTTGATCTGACAAAAAAACATAAAGAACAAATGAGTAAGTGAGGGTTGAAGGAAAGACTAATTTGGAGAAAATGCTGCAAAGGGAAAAAATAAACTGATTTTTTGGGAAGTAAAACTCCCAGAAAGGATAGGTGATGTCCTATGTCCTTTGACATTCAGCACAGCAAACAACCTATCTACTTCGCTCTTAACCACTTTTTCTTTTTCTTTTGTTCAAAAATGACTCAACTTGATTTATTAGACAATTTTTTTCTCTAAGAAAACAAGTTGCCCATTTTATAATATAAAATCAATGAATAACAGTATTCAACTGACAGAAGTTTGACAACTTCCCTGGAAATCATCCCTCTTATAAAACTTAGGAAAAACTCTATTTTACAAATTTAGAAACATATTACACTAGAAAACGTCTACTGTTTAAATTATCAGCACATTAGGAGAGTGTATCAGATTTAACATTAGGTATTTATGTATACTTTAGCATTAAAAGGCATCTTTTAATACTAAAGTTCTTGAAATGGTTTAAAAACATTATTTTAGACCTATCGTTAAAATGTATTTACAGTAAGTTAAAAGATATAAAAAATCATTACATGCCCACTGCTCTCTCTGTTCCCATGGTCCTTTTGAAAATAAAAATCTATCAGGGTTAAGTGTAACTGGCTGGATGTGTAACAGGAAAGAGACCATAAACTCTAACAATATGCGTTAGAGAACTTTTAATCTCACAATGTGTCTCAATGGAAAGATGAAATTCAGAAATAAAACTACACTGACATCATTTCTTTCACTTGTATGTAATTATGTGTCTAATATTTCTAAGTGCTCTACGAGAAACAGAACAGAAAAAAATCTACTATGGAAAATTTGAGGTTAATAGTAATGAAGTTAATACTTATGAAGTAATCAAAAAATACTCATGTAAGCCCTAGCTGGTGTGGGTCAGCGGTTAGAGCAGCGGTTCTCAACCTTCCTAATGCCGCGACCCTTTAATACAGTTCCTCATGTTGTGGTGACCCCCAACCATAAAATTATTTGCGTTGCTACTTCATAACTGTAATTTTGCTACTGTTATCAATCATAATGTAAATATCTGATATGCAGGATGTATTTTCATTGTTACAAATTGAACATAATTAAAGCATACTGATTAATCACAAAAACAGTATGTAATTATATATGTGTTTTCCGATGGTCTTAGGTGACCCCTGTGAAAGGGTCGTTCAACCCTAAAAGGGTCGCGACCCACAGGTTGAGAACCGCTGGGTTAGAGCATCGGCCCACAAACCAAAGGATTGCAGTTTCGATTCCTAATCAAGGCATATACCTGGGTTGCAGGTTCGACCTCTGCCCCCCTGTAGGGGTATGTGCAGGAGGCAACCAATTGATGTGTCTCTCACATCAATGTTCGTGCGCGTGCGCACGCTCTCTCTCTCTCTCTCTCTCTCTCCCCTCTCCCTCCCTTCCACTCTCTTTAGAAATCATTGGAAAAAAATATATGTTCAACAGTGCAGAAAATATAACCCCATATCATGTAAGCCTACTGAAGAGCACAAAATTTTGAGAACCAATCAACTACAGTCAGTAAAGATGATGAATCTTTGATTAAAACTTAATTTGGGTCTCACAAATTGATTGAATTCACATCTAAAAATTTATATCTACATATTAATCTCAAATATGTAAAACAAAGACCTAATATAACAAAACTATCAGTAAGTTTAAAGTGTACAAATTTCACCCAGCTGGTGTGGCTCAATGGTTAATTGTCCACCCATAAACCAAGGGGTCACCGGTTGGATTCCCAGTCAGGGAACATGCCAGGTTGTGCACTCAGTCCCCAGTGGGGGTGTGCAGGAGGCGGCAAATTGATGTTTCTCTTTCACCGATGTTTTTATCTCTCTATCCCTTTCCCTTGCTTTCTCTCTAAAAAAAAATCAGTAAAAATCTATTTTACAAATAAATAAAGTTTACAAATTTCAAAATGAGCAGCACTTTTTGCAAAACTATGGAATATTTTTTTAAATTAAGTGAAACATGCAAATGACTCAAGCAGACTCCCAATATACATTCATATGTATGTAAAAGTTAAATTGAGAATTTGGGAGGTGGGGGCGTTAGCTTTGTCTTCAGTTACATCACATTTTAATAATAATTCTTTAATTCCTAAGAGGACAATACTAATTTATACAGCTAAAATCAGTGGTATTAAATTGTGGTGCAAAGTAACTACCTCAAAAAAAGGTCTATTTATCAATAGAACATTTAAAAAAAAATTTTTTTTAGTTTACTTCCGTATCCCCCCAACCAATCTAAAAGACTTTTCAATAAACATTAAAAAACAGCTAAAGATAAATAGAAGCAGTTTTTGTTTGATTTTGGCTTTGAACCGTACCTCTAGCTGCTGTAAGAGAGATTTTCCTTTCTTATTAATTTCATTGATAAGGGTGAAAATGGCCACTTTTATTTCCTGTTCTACTCGTTTGTTAGTCTCATTTACTTCTTTTATCCTGAATAAGAGAAATGCATCATTAGGTTATCAATTTATCTCTAAATCATCAACTTACAGAAATTCAACTGGGCACTTAACCGAGCAATTAAAATTAAACCTTTGCCAAAATGTATTACTTATGTTTCAGCAGACCTGATCACTCATTTTGGTCCAAGCAAGTTATGTATATGGACTAAGAATGGATTAAATATTCAGTCATTTTAAATTAAATTCATAAAGGCCAGTTTATTAATCTAGATGGTAATCTCCATTAGTTCCCATGACATGAATGTGATATACAAATATCTGACATCAATGATTGCTGGTATCAAATCTGGCACACTGGTTCTATTTAATCTTAATGCTTTTGAAGAACAATGTGCAAAAAACAATGTTGTAACCAATAATTACCTTTTCAAATAATAGGAATTAAGCTTAGAATCATTAATTTTCATTTATAACTTAACCATTTCAAATATAGGTTGTAATATGCCCCTTTCACAAATCTTCTCAAAATGGTTTCTTATTGTATACAGTTAAAGGCATAAAACATTTTCAATCCATTCTTTTAAAATAGCTGTTAGATGTTCTAGAAATAGGTATAAGCTTCCACTGTGGTTAGAAAAGTTTTGGTTGCATATTTTATTTACAAAATAAATAGGGGAAAATCCCACCAATATGAATAAATAAAATATTAAACCATAAGGAAGCCTTCAAACTCATTCTACTTCTGTACAAACTATAACCCACACTTTCAACCCCTGAATTGATCTTTATTTGCCAAATTCAAATCTGAGGACTTTAATACACTTAATCATAATAACATAGTTTTCTCTCTTTTGTCTGTATATCACTGCTTGTTTGGGCACTTATTTAAAAATTTTATTCAATTCTGTCCTTAAAGTCATTTTTTTTTAATGGGAGTACTGATTACTAATGATAAGACATATGGGACTCAAACTTACAATGATTTTGGCCAAAAATTGAAATCATTAAGCAAGCTGAAAGCAGAGAGCAGTTAGCCATAGTCAGACTCTCATTGGATTTAAGCATGTCTACTATATGTTCAATTGTGAAGGAAGAAAAATAGAGAAAGGTCATCAAAAAATATGTCTCGGAGAAGCATCATTAATACCTTTGTTTAAAAGTTTTCTGCAGATGAAATCATCAATCTCCCCAACCCTTTACAATCTTATAAAACATAAACTTCTTGCTTTATTTCTCTACATAAATTCAGAAACATATATACAAAATATGTCTAAAACATATAGACAAAAATATCAGACTGCATGTGAATCAACTCATGTCCTTTCTCTAAAAAGGACATCTATCTGTAATTTATGAGAAGACAGTTATCATCTCCAATATCACCCACAACATATCAACATACCCACAACACCCTGACATATCCATAAGAACCAACCATCCATGATTAGTGTCTGTATATTTACATATACACTGAGTGGCCAGATTATTATGACCACCCCATCAGTACTTCATTGACACTTCCAAAAATACTGAATATTGAAAACTTCCTAAGCAAATATTCTCAAGGTTTTATTATTATTATTATTTGCATAACTAATTCACTTCATTGTACTGATGGGGTGGTCATAATAATCTGGCCACTCTGTGTATGTGCAACTTAAGATGAAAATTCTAGCCATAACCGGTTTGGCTCAGTGGATAGAGCATCTGCCTGCGGACCGAAAGGTCCAGGGTTCGATTCCGGTCAAGGGCATGTGCCTTGGTTGCGGTCACGTCCCCAGTGGGAGGTGTGCAGGGGGCGGCTGATCAATGTGTCTCTCTCAATATTTCTCTCTCATCGATGTTTCTAACTCTCTCTCTCTCTCCCTTCCTCTCTGTAGAAAATCAATAAAATATATATTAAAAAAAAAAAAAAGAAAATTCTACCACCTTACTGTCCAATATATAATTTTCTATTTTCTAACATATAATGTACCATTCATTCATTCATCTATTTAATATTTTTTAGTATCTACTAGGTGCCATCTTAAATAATCATAAATGAATTTTAATATTCCAAAAGTACCTAAAAGTTCTAGTATTTGTGAATCTGAATAATGAGCATCTATCAACCCTATTCATAAATCCAGGAATATACAAGTTTTAATTATGCCAGCTCCAAGTGTTAGTCTTCCTACATTAAGGGCCCTCATTTTGTTAATCTATTCACTTATGAAACTTACTCCCATTTGCCTTATCAACAAATTTGGTTTACTTAGAAATGAACCAAAATAGGATTTTTTAAATACTAATGGTGTTATTGATAAAAATAATAGCAACAATAAAAATTTGAGAGTTTACTATGTGCTATATATTCATCTTATAATAATACTTTAAGAGAAGTACTGTTTTTAATGCTTGTTTTACAGATGAGAAAATAAATTTGTCCACCCTCTTCATAGTCTCTCTCCTGTGTCTTCCATAGTCTCTAGTTAAATTTTATAATTCAGCCTTGGCCAGGTGGCTCAGTTGTTTGAAGCATTGTCCCATACACCAAAAAGTTGCAGGTTTGATTCCCAGTCAGAGCACATACATAGGTGTGGGTTTGTTCCCCAGTCGGGGTGCGTACAAAAGGCAACCAATTAATGATTCTCTCTCACATCGATGTTTCTCTCTCTTTAAAAATCAATAAAAACATATCCTCAGGTGAGGATTATATTTTTTAATTTATAATTCAATTCCTTATGTATTAATTGCATTTTTCACATTTAATTAAGGTTTACAAAGACTAGAGTCTTATTAATTACAAAACAGTCAAAGATGTATCCTAAAAGACTATTCAAAAATTTGGCCAATTAAATTTTACTTAACAAATATTATACTCAAACTTACACCATTTACCCCTCCAAAAACTAATATTTTTAAATATTCTTAGTATTAATATATATTTTTAAAAATTTAAACTGAACCCACTGTATTTAATAATCCTTTAAGTGAAATTATAGTTTTAAGGCAACACTTACCTATTCTGCACCTGAGTAGCTGCAAAATGAACGTAATTCTTCTTCTCAAGAAGCTTAGCTAGTAGATTCTCAATTGCACCTTTCTGGTTTTGAAAAGCTTCTTCCAAAAACTGGTACCTTAAAGCCAAAACAAAAACTACATTTAAACAGGAAATTATTAAGATTTTGGACACGAAGAACTGCTGCACAGGTAAATCTTGAAAGCTTACTTAAATGATCAGCATTGTATGCTGGCCACACATACATTACATCAATAGCAACTTTTAATTACCAGTACCTCCCCATCTGACCCAACCCTGAAAAGACATTGTAAGATTAAAAAAATAGCTTAAAAACTGTTCAAGTGCTCTTACATTAGAGTTCTGATTCAGGATGATTTTTTTTTTAATCCAAATATTAGCAAAAGTTTAATAAACAAGCTGCTTTCTCTCTGATGATAAATGTACCTTATGAAGACAATATGCGTAGATCGGAAACCTTGATTTGTCATCATAGCTCTAAACCTAGCTCCCTGAGAGGACTAACAGCAGATATGAATTTATGTCATTTCTACCAGCTATTTGGATCTCATCTGAAAAACTTTTTTACTTTAGAAGAATTTACAGAAAAAACAAAAATGAATTTGGCAAAGGTTCTTCTTTAAGTAGTTATCTACTTTCACTGAAAAACTAAAACCACCTACGATGACTTACCAGTATTCTTAAAATACTTTTAAAAAGATTTTGATGTCCAAAATGTAATAAAGGTTCTTATTAACCAGTCTGGAGTAGCACTAAGGCATCAGTATTCTTTTAAAGCTCTCTAGGTACTTATATATCTAAGATTGCAAATATCTACTTTAAAGCTTATTTACAGATATTCATCAATCCATCCCATTTTTAATTTAAAGGACACATTCCAAGAAGCTATTTCTTTAGGAAAATATTTTTGAGAAATGTTACTTACATTGCTTTATTCAAAGGACCACCATTATAAACCATCTTACTCTTTAAAATGCCTGACATCAGGTTTTAAGCAACCACTCTCAAACCATATTGATGCTCAAAAATAATCCACAAATACCCTTCTCTAACTATACTAGTGTACACAAACTGCAATAGGGGATAGGAGATATTAAGGAAACTTTCACTCGCAGCCATGACAGAGTTAACGAGTACCTCACTAGCCCTGCCACCAAAAACTATTAAACAAGACAAAGATATATGAGGCAATTGTATTCAGTCATTGGGAAACCTTTGCCAAACTCATTTTTCAAAGAAATTCGGCAGTCCTTTGGAGAGAATCACAATCAGCCTGCCTCTCTGTCTGTAGACAATTTCATGATAACTGGCACAGAGAGCTAGAGACCAAGCAGAGTACAAAGTTTCTTTGAGCTGAGGAGGCAGAAATCAGGGTTGGGAACTACTCAGCACCTGGAATCCATGGAGTAGGGCCCTGGAATAGAAGGAGCTGTGCAGAGAGAGGCTGAGGAATAAGTGAATCCCTCACAAAACCATGTGCAATGTCTGTGCTACACATGTACAGGGTAGGGTCTTGCAGCTGCTATAAAAGTTGACGATGGAAGAAAAAAACCCAGAGGCCAAGCAGTTCTGGCCGACAGAATTCCAGCTGAGCCAGTGGGGGAAGGGACTTTGTTCACCTCCCAGGCATCTACCTAAGAAACCAGAAAGGCCACATCTTAACGGAAAATAACTATAGGTGGAAAAACTTCTACCCTAGGCCTATCCTGTCCTAACAAAGCCTAAAACTAAACCTTCATATGATCTTTCAAGAAAGAGCTTAGAAGTTAAGTTCAACCAAGTTACAGGCTTGGGAAATACCTTGGGCTTTCCACAGACCATCCCTAACTAAGTGTAAAAACAAGCTTACAAAAAAAAAAAAAAGGTAATCAATCAACCAGTAATTCAACTGCCCCCTAGAACAATAATTAAAGAGTCTGCAGAGAAAGAGAATCCAGTTTCAATAATATATTACCCACAATATTCCGGTCAAGGGCATGTACCTTGGTTGCGGGCACATCCCCAGTAGGGAGTGTGCAGGAGGCAGCTGATCGATGTTACTCTCTCATCGATGTTTCTAACTCTCTATCCCTCTCCCTTCCTCTCTGTAAAAAAATCAATAAAATATATTTTTTTAAAAAGAAAAAAAAGAAATGACCTCTAGATTCTAGATTTAGTAAAGCAATGGTATTGGTGACCTTGAAAAAAAATTTAGGTAGAATTCTGTCAAGTGTGTACATATTTAAGAGGAAATGGGACAGTAGAAATGGCTCTCTTCAATTATAAAAGTTTTGCTGCAGCCCTAGCTGGTTTGGCTCAGTGGGTAGAGCATCAGCTTGAAGGCTGAAGGGTCCCAGGTTTGATTCTGGTCAAGGGCACATGCCCGGGTTGCAGGCTTGATCCCCAGTAGGGGCATGCAGGAGGCAGCCAATCAATGATTCTCCCATTATTGATGCTTCTATCCCTCTCTCCCTCTCTGAAATAAATAAAAATATATTTAAAAACAAAAAGTTTTGCTGCAAAGAGGCATAGGAACAGCTGTTGGCAGGAAAAGTAGGTTGAAGAAAAGGTTTTGTATTTTCGTTATTTTTAAAGATAAAAAAAAGTGGCAGAATATGGAAATACTGATAGGAATAACTACTAAAGACTGAAAAACTGACATCAGCAGAAAAGGACAAACTGCTGAAGCAATGTCCTTGGCTAGATAACACGAGATGGAATCTAAGTGTGTGAGTGGAGAAATTGGCTTTATAGAGAGACAGGCATATAATGGTGTCCCAGTTCCAGGCATCACAACCAAATTCAAGAAGGGAAAGGCTAGAAAAGGCTGACACCGGCAACATTTGTCCCTTTCATCAGGAAGGCAAAGGCTTTCTGAAAATCACCCACAAAGCAGAATTCCACTTCTGTTTTATGGCCATGAACTGTGGATCAGAGCTACCCTAATGCCAGGAATGCTGAGAAAGATAACTCAACTTTTCCAGTCTCTATATTGGCAGACAAGAGAGACAGGAGTTGAGAATTCTCAACATATCTCAAAATGTATGGCATATGACAATGGCTCTCTTCAAATGTGAGATGATCCTCCCATCCATTCTTACTTAAATGTATTTAAAAACTGCTTAGAGCCCTGGCCAGTGTGTTCAGTGGTTAGATGCTGCCTGCGCACCAGGGGGGTCTCGGATTCAATTCCTGGTCAAGGGCATGGACATGGGTTGCAGGTTCAACCCCCACCCCCGGTTGGATAGTGTGTGGGAGGCAACCAGTAGGTGTCTCTCTCACATCTATGTTTCTCTTTTTCCTCTCCCTCTCCCTCTTCCTCTCTTCTCCCTCCCCCTCCCTTCCACTCAATAGGAAAAATATCCTCACTCTTTGGGAGAGGATTTAATTTTTAAAATAATTAAAAACAATAAAAAACTGTTTAGAATCATGTGTGAGAAATAGCAGAACTTATGAACTGGTGAACTTCACTGTAAGGGAATCTTTTTAATTAGAAATGAACCCCAAATGTCAACATTTAGAGGCTTCTTCTGATCATTCACTTTCTCCAGAGAGTTAAAAGGCCTCTATTTCCAGAAAGGGGAATAGAGAGAAATAGTAAAATAGGAAAGTATCACTACTGGTAATCTGGAATCAAGTTGGGGGAAGTGAAAGTCCCAGTTTAGTGTGTAGATTTAATCTTAATCTTTACAATTTGGCCAAATTCCTCATCCCCACCCTCCATTTAGACCTAATATCCCCAAGTTCAGAGCCTTTGATTTTACTTATTCAAAGAATAAGCCCAACTTTTGTGATACCTATTACTTCTAGAGTGACTTCCTTTCTATCTCCTTTACCCTTGGATTGTAGTTCATTCAACTCAACTAAGCCAAATATCAGAATCACTAGATATTCAACTTTGTTTTTTAAAAATTAACTGAAATCTTCATTGGTGACTTCTTGATATTTATAAGTCTATACTTTTCTTTATTCATTTACTGTTAGGAGAATTATTAGAGTAAGGAGGGATAACCCCATGGTTTAACTAGAAACCATGTAACGTTTTAAGGTACAAAATGTCATTAAGTTCTAAAGCTGCTTTCCTTTTTAAGAACTTACAAGACCATAAAGAAATGTCTAAGCCAACAGAAGTTATTAACTTGAGACAATATAGGATACACCTGGTGGACAAAAAGAGCTTACCACTTTAATAACAAATAGAAGCTAAAGTGCTGGTACCAATGAATTCCCTGTTACAATAACCTTGTGCAGCCTGTGAAGAAGTGGATGGCTCATCAAGACTAACACACTATTAAAGCTTTAATAAAGTAGTGCCACCATAGCATCAGCAGTGCCTGATATGGTTTCAACAGTATAAAAATACATACAGCAGGCTAGAGGGACATGGTACTCAGTGACCGATCCCAAAAATGTTTTCTTCTCTGCCTCAATCTCAAAAATATGCCAACAGCAATTTTCCTTCCTGTGCATGGATCCCAACTTACATTTACTATACTGCCACAGGGTTATTTCAATTCACCAGTTTACTGGTATAATTTGGTTAGAAGGGATTTAGACTTCATGCAGGTTCTAATAATAATAATACATTGTATTGATATCATGATAATATCAGAAACTAAGGATGAAGATAGGACTGACTTAAATGCAATGGAGACACACACGACCAACAAAGGCTTTTAATAAATCCAGCAAGGGTCCAAGTACTCGCCCAAACTGGTGAAATTCTTAGGAATAACCTAGGCAGAATAGCCTTGACATTCCACAGGTAACAAATACAGTTTTTGCCAACCACCTTTAGAACTAAACAAGAAGCCCAACATTTGGTTGGTATATTTGAATTTTGAATATTACCACATCTGGTAATATTACTAGTACTAATCAATACAACCACCCCAAAGGTGATCATTTGTATGTGAATGGGGGGCAGGCCTTGTCTGAATTTCAAAAAGTAGTCTATTTCCAGATGCGTTTGGGGCCCTATGATCCACACTTGGAACGATTTTGTAAGTATCAGCAACAGAGATTGCGCAGACTGGAGTTTATGGGGGATGGGGGTGGGCTAGAG